AAGTTTTACATAGGAACCTATGTCCGGAAACGATCCATGTTGGAAAACAAGGAAAACAAGAGCGATTCACGTTTTTATTGATGAAGGTGTTTATTTACATCATACGATCACCTGATTTCATGTAATGTCCTCTGTTTTCATGCTGCTTAACTGATTCGTCACTTGCCATTAAGGTGGCTAGTACTGCAGTAACAGTATGGCAGAGTACACTTTTTCAGAGTACACCGACATGTTGTTAATTTACGGTGAAGCTCGACGTAATGGAAGAGAAACACACCTGTACCACGAATATTTTTCGAATCGCGTGACTCTATCCCATACAATTTTTGCCAGAGCAGACCAACGGCTGCGGGACAAACCGAATCTGGAAATGGACCGTTTATGGACATATAAGGTTCCTATGTGAAACTTTATCTATTAAGTTCCCTCTACAACCTCTAGAAGTGTGTAATAGGAAATCTGGGACACCCTGTATAGAGCAAGTTTTCCTTTATATTACTTATTTCTCTAGAAAAAAATTTAGATTAAATTTATTGTTTTTAAACATCAATATTAGGAGTTTCAATATTCACTTTTAGTACTGATAATCTTTCTTATAATTAGTATAATGTGTATAAATTTTCAACACTGATAGTGATTATGAGAATGTAGCCTATAAGAGTACAAAATATAGAGTAAAAAATATTCTTCCAAACACGTAAATAAAAATATATTATAAAATAAAAAGTAAAAGTACAAAAAAGTAACGATAAATTTCGTTACCGTTACTGTAAAAACATAACGACATTACTATTACCAGTAGAAAAAGTAATGAAAAAGGTAATGCCATTACAAATAACTAACGCATTACTTTCCAACCTTGCTTAAATGTACATACATATCAATTAAGAAATTATTCAAATATAAATTTATATTGAAGAATAAATATACTTACCGGAACAACCTGTTATATAAATAGACACTTGTACGCCACAATATTCATCAACAATGTTTCGCAGTATATTCGCGCCTGCTAAATCAATATGTGACAATGCTGTAAAGTCCAATATAAGAATGCGTAGCTGCAAATATTCGAGATAAATGAGATATTATATTGCAGATGAGATATTAAGCAAATGCAATAAATATAATTATTTTAAATAAATATATCATAGTACAGCAGAATATTTGCGAATGATGTCAAAAGTTGCACATTATTTACCTTTTTAATTTCTTCTGCTGCGTTGCCATTGCATGCGGCTTGTTGGCGTATTTTTAGTTCCTTTTGAGGTACTAGCCCTGCAACTTTATATACTTCCTCACGAAAGTATTGCTTAGATGCGAAATTCAGACTACCGGAATAATGAAAAATTTTGATGCCAGGAATCTCTACAGTCTGAAAACATGTGTTAAATATTTATTTTCTGATTAATTCTCATTAAGAGTAATTCTTATGTTCTTGCTATTTAAGTTGCTATTTAAATAATTTACCATATTTACTAAAATGCAATGAAATGCATTTTAGGCGATTTAAGAAGCATGTCTGCAGGGATTGTTGAATTCATTTTTTTTTGTTACACAATATTACTTGCTGAATCTAAAAATTATAGTTAAAATAGTTCATTTATAAGAGATCTTCACAAAGTGTCAAATTCTGATTTTAATGAAACTTTACACATATAGGTTACGTAAAATATAAATGCACTTAGAAAATATCAATTGCTGCCCAAAAACGGTTTTAAGCGACGTCTACAATAAAACTTAAGACTTAAGATTTAAGCTTTAAGGTGTTAATTCGTGATGTCATTTCCGTTCGTAAGACGTTCCCGCCTTTACTTTAGCCTTAACTTTAATTCTCAAGCGAATTGACGAAATTTCAATTCTTACTAAAAGTCTACGGCTTAAAGTCGCGCGATATAAGAACCAATCATCATACTGCCTTCCATTGCCTTTTCTTACGTCTGCTTTTTGACTGGATGTTTGGTCGTTAAAGCTTAAAGTTATAATCTTACAACGTTTATTTATTGTAGACACTACGATGTAACAGCTTAAGTCTTAACGCTTACAATTTAAGATTTAAAGCTTAAATCTTAAATCTTAAGTTTCATTGTAAAACGGGCTTTTAAGGTCTTTAAGGAATGAAATCGCCCCTAAAGCGACGTCTACAATGAGATTTAAGACTTAACATTTAAATAAATTGACCAATTATAGTTAATTATTCATCTCACATGAGAAGAATAATCGATTGTAATTGATCAATTTTCTTAAATCTTAAATCTCATTATACACGTCGTTTAATGGGTAAAGCAGTTTTCAGCTTTTTTTATGACATCTTAAAAACTATTCAAGATATCAAAAAATGTTTTATTAAATGTATCTAAAATTTTACAATTACTAATTCAATTAATTTTACAAAATTATCTCTATATATTCATCCACATTAATAATATTTTTGAAAAATGATTATTTTAAGAAAACTTTTTGAAAACTTTTAAAAATAATTATGTTTCAAAAATATTATTGACGTGGATAAATCGAGGTAATTTCATTGTAAAACTTTTATGTAAAACATTTTTGTATATCTTGCATAATTTATAATGAAAAAAAGATGAAAACCAGTTTTACATATAAGGTGATTTCACTCCTTTGCTACAATAATTTTTAAAACTTATTTTGAAAATAATTATTTTTTTAAGTATTATTGACGATAATAGAGATATTTTTATTTTGAAATTAGTTATAAATAGAGGTAGCTTTACTTCAAAATTAGTACTCATATCAATCGTCAATGTCACATTATCGTTTTTTTTCTTCTGTCTGTTCTTTTTGTGGTAAGAAAATAACAAAGTATTATCATTTTCATATCATTTAGTGATAGACGCTTGATGCATTTTTCTTGCGATTTCTCAATAGGCCTAATCCATTCTCATTCTTTAATGCCTGAATTGTTTGAAATACCATCTTGCCTCTCTTGAATAATTCTTCAGATATAATGTTCAAAAATAATATTATTACTTTAAATAGTTTTTGAGATATGATATTTAACTTAATATGATATTTATAAATACATTTAAAATAATTAATAAAATTTTATCATTTCATAGCATTATAACGCAAAAGATATTTTTTCATATAAAAGGTACAAAGGATTGAATTTTTATGTAAAAATAATTTTTCTAAATATATTATTTATAATATTATAATATATTATAAATATATTATTTATAATATTATATCTCAAATTATTATATTTTAAACATTATTTTAAAAAATTATTCAAGAGATGAAGGATAGCATTTCGAACAATTCATGCATTTAAAAATGAGAATGGGTTAGGCCAATTGGGGAAACTCATACTAAAAAAAAACGAATTATGTTATCTACCACTAGATGGTGTGGAAATAATAGCAATTTATCATTTTCTTGTCGTAGAAAGAACACACAGAAAAAAATAATAATATGGACATTGACCAATATATGAGTACTAATTGTAAAGTACTACCTCTACTTACAACTAATTTTAAAATAAAATTATCTCTATTATCTATCGTCATTGATACTAAAGAAATAATTATTTTTAAAACAAAATTTGAAAATTTTTGGGCAGTAAGTAATATTTTATGAATTCATCTATTTAGTGTTTTCTTCACATCAATCGATTAATCTCATTATTTTGTGCATAAAATTCAATATTACAATTATCAAAAAACCAATAGTTTACAAGATGTTTCATATTTTATGTTGAAAAATGACATGATAAAGTCTAAAATATCTTGTAAACTATTGAATTTTCAATAGTGTTACCTTAATACTTTTATATGCAGAATAAAGGAATTATAATGTGTAAAAAAAATTATATAATTCCATATTAAAAAGATGGCGATACCCTTTATATTAGACCTTGAAAAATTGTTTTTTAAAATTATTTTTACCATTATTTGTTCCTTTTCAGATCATACAACTTTTGTCTGAAACATTTTTCCGCACCTTTTATATTTTTGAGATATTTCGATGCATAAGTTAAAATGTATACATATCTTAAAGTAACTTGCAGATTTCCAAGTTTTGATGAGAAAGGATGACAGCTTAAACAATCGAAATTTTTATAAAAACAAAGAGAAATTCGTAGATATGACTCGATAAAATGATAAAATCAATCATTGTTTTCTTATATCCCCAAAATTATATTTCCCAGATATTAAGATTATTTTAACTGATTATATGATTTTTGGATTCAGCAAGTAAAATTAAATAAGAAAGAAGATGAAATTAACAAACCCTGTTGTGCTTCCCAAATCGCCTGAAATATATGAATTCCTCTTTATATAATCATAAAACTTATAAAAAATTTCCTATTTTTAAAAGTACTTATGATATATACATCATAAAAGAGATAAATAATGATGAGAAAAAATAGCTTTTTTTTTAATTACAAATTCTTCGTACTCCTTTGTATCTTTTGGTATCCAAGTAGAGCTCAGTGCCTGGTACTAGAGCGAGCTTACACGTGTAGGGTCGCATCGCGAGGACAAGTAACCTTCCGATGCATAGAAGTATCCCGACCAATAATCCATATTCAACATCGAAAAGAATGACAATAATGAAGGTGAATGCCCAAATACCAGCGTCCGTTTTGTCCAGTCTCCAGAATTTCATGAACTCGGTAACCTTCATCAGCATCCCTTTTAACGCCACTATGATTATACTCGCTAAAACACACTATGTATCCCACAAATGCATTTCGAACACCATATATCTTACGGTTGTATTATGAAATAGAAATGATATAAAGAATAAATACTCGTGGCAAAGGTTGAAAGAATGGCCCGATCCATAGCAATACGCTCACCAGGATTCCACATGATATCAAACTCGCCAGCTGTGTATGTCCACCTACAGTTTGCTGAATCAATGATCTGGATAACGAAGCCGTGATAGGCATGCAGGAGAAGAAAGAGCCTACAAGGTTTCCTAATCCCTGTAAATTGTTACAGAGAATCAATATACTTATGTAAATGTATATTAAGGGGATACAAAGCAATATAAAAGCGTATTTATTATATTTAAAAATATATTCTAAAAATATATTTATTATATTTAAAAATATTGTATAAATATCGCAATGTGATTCGGATTTACCTGAGCAATCAATTCTTGATTAGAGTCGACCTCATAGCCCACCTTTTGCGCGAAAATCAATGCCATAGACATTGATATTGTATAAGCGACCATAGTAATCACGAAACTGTCTACTAAAATGTTGGGTATAAGCGACAATGGTGGTACAGACGGGATTGGTAATCTGAAAACCTTGATATTATAATAATTTGAAGTTTATTGCATTATTTTACTTTCACAATTTGTAGTTTTACAAAAAAATATATGATTTTCTACGCGTGATAAGTTATACAAAGTTAATTTGGTAAATTAATTTTAATACTGTCGTAAAAAAGTTAATATAAAAAAACATAATAATATTTTTATAAACGAAAGATTTTTACTACAAGCTGTGTAAGTGAATTGAATTTAAATTATACATTTACCCTACTGGTATAACGCCAACTGTTATTACGTTATAAGTATCCGCAAGATTCATTTGCATCGATATCAAAGTACCGATTATCACCACAAGCATCTCTATCGGGATTGGAAAGGGACATAACTTTGAGACTCTTGGCTGAAATACAGATGACTCCTTCTTAGAACGCAAACGTAATTAATTTTATAAAATGGTTAATATGTCTGTCTTTTATAATGAAATGCATTCAATTTATGTGCAAAACATAATTAACGAACCTTAAGAACTTCGTTGTTGAAAATAATAGCTAAAATAGTGATGCAAGATAATATCACAGCCGTTGTATTGATGTTGTTCATACTATTGAAAACATCTACGTAAGTCTAAAAAAGAAAAGAATAAATGAATAAGTTAAGCAAGAGCTAACAAAAATTAGAACTAAAAAAATATATGACACTTTAAATATAATTTAATACAGCTCTATAAAAATTAGATTTAAAAAAACTTCATATAAATTTACTACTTTTATTTTACAAGCTTGATGTATGCACAATGCGATTGTTCGTGCTAGATCGCATATGATCTAGTAAATTACTAGAAATTCTATGTGCTGCTAGTCTAGTAGTATGATAATTTATTAGGGCTGCGATCCGACTGACGCTCACAGCATTCTTGGAATCATTTCATCCTTGTTGTTTAGCTCATATTAAACAAGGACAACAAGTCTATTACAAGTGCTGCGATTTGAATCGGACTGCCAATTAGATCACATGCAAATCTAGCATGAAAAATCGTATCGTGCCTCAAGCTAAAGAAACAATAAATCTTTACGTAAATAAATTAAATGGAACATTATAAATAAAAACAAATATATGTATTAATTTTGTTTTTATTTACTGAGCTTTAACTATTAAAGATTATTCTAATTTACGCGAGCATGGCGATGCGTTATAATACACCATCTATTCATTCCTTTTTACTCATTAGATTAAATTTTGGGATTAAAACTCTTCACATACTTAAGAATTGTACAAAGTTACTTAAACAGGTTGTATTAGTATTAGAATCAGCTGGTTTTAATCGATTTTTGTTCCTAACATTGATAATGACCCGATCGGGGTCAAATCATTTGTTGTTTATATTGAAGAATTGTTAAATATTGGAGCGAAACAACACCTAAGCTTTGGCTCAAAGCCCATTATGTGTATTAATTTTATTTTTAATTACTGAGCTTTGGATATTAAAGATTATTTTTAAAAATATATATGTTAAATATATTAAATCAAATATGCATACATTAAATTAATATTTTTAAATAAAATGAAACTTTACTCTGCCGAAATCTCGATCATACATCAGAGTTGAAGTCATACAAAGAGAAAAAGATAGTTCGTATTATAGAGTGTCAAGTACATACGTCATACATAAATAAATATGAAAGCGTCGTTAAAATAGGTACCTATTTTATGTATTACTTGTTTCCAGGGTTGGGTAAAATACATCATTAAAGTATTTGAAATACAAAATACATAAAAATTTTTGTTTAAAATATAAAATACTTTTTAATTTAATTACGGTAATATATAATGTTAAACTTTCCTCCCATCAACCCCCTTTGCACTTTTAGAAAGAGAAAAGTTGTTTTACTCTCTTACGCTCTTTAATAGTCCTATTGTCCTGCGTATCAACCACACGAGAGAGAGAAATCTATTTACTTGTGTAAGAATTGTGTATGATTGTGTAAATTTGACTCTGATGACTAATTGATATTGCTTGAAACTTGACGAAATAGTCAGTGTTGCTAATAGCTATATAAGGAAAATTTGAGTTATTATTAATTATAGTCAAGGATTTTTATCAATAATTTCTTTCAAATACAAAATAGATTAAAATTGTATTTGAAATACAAAATACTTTTATGTTCTCCGCTGAAATACAAAATACAAATTTCAGATACAAGCATTTGAACTATAGATATACCTAGCCCTGCTTGGTTCACATTTTATATGTGTACTCGCAGAAGTACGCGACATGAGTATGTAATAGAAATAAAGAAATTTGTTTGTTAAATATTACGTATATACTTCTTCTATCGAGAAAATATTTCTATGCACGATTAGTGTTTTGATCTTTTCTTAAGAAAAATTAATGCAATGAACGAAACTACATGTTTTGGATATGTACATCACATATATTTTCTTTTTATGCCATTTTGATTTTATTAAATTATTATATTACGATGTTCTCCAGCAATAATGATTAAATATTTAAAAGTATTAAAATTCGAAGATAATGTTACTTGAGATTGCTCTAATCCATGTCTTCGTTAATCCATCTTTGTACCGACAACAATAGCGAGTTGTCATGATAGAGCGCGACGCAAATACTAACCCTGACCTTTTGCAATGTATCGCGTAATCTTCATATACATTACATAACGCCTTCTTGACGTTTAAATTACAATTTGATTGCACGGGGATATCTACAGGAAGCGTTTACCACGGCATACCTATAAATGTTTGGCGTGTGCAAACGTTTTGTTTGGTGACGATAGGAAAAAGAGAAGGGAAAACAAGGAGAAGCATATCGATAGCGATGTGCCGCCAGAAAGAGAGGACTCGGCTAATGTTTGCGGTGTCAAACAAAACTTAGTTGTTACTGTACTCACGAGAATAAGCTTGAATGCACCCCTGCGCCGCGGTAGGTCGCTCAGTCCGAAGAGATCCCTTATTTGCGATGTAAATACGTGCATCGCCGCTGCCGTCGTGAATCCACTCACGAGACTGTCCGCGAGGAGCGACGAGATTACGCCCAAACGCAGCACGTACATTCCTAACTAGACGAGAGATTTTGAGTAATATTGCGAGAGGTCAAGAGTGCGAGATGTACTACTGCACGAATATGCACCAGCAGCTGTGGGAATGATAATTAAAATGCCAGCCGGTGGAAAATGCTAAGCATGTGCGTAGTAACTTAGATTGGGGTTTGCCTTAAAAATGTAATATAGTACGAGGAAAAAAAATTAAAACGTGAGATAAAAAATAACTTAACATGAAACTAAACACGCCTAGAGTATTCACGCGTGAAAACTAAAATTAATTAATTCCAAAGAGCACAAGCAAATAAATAAGGGAAAGGGGGGAGCAAATAGTGTCACTTTACATTTCTCCTCTTTCCCGCATCTATTTTATCACTACTTGTTAATAGAAAAACAGTTCTCAAGCATTTAATCATCTTCTGAAAAAGCAGTAAAAATCAAAAACTAAATATAGCTAGCGGAGAAGTTTAAAATTTTGCATTCGTGAAATCAGGTAAAATCAGGATCTTTTTTTGATATTTGAAGTTATACTTTCTTAATTGCTGAATCGTTGAATGAGATCTAATCTATTCTATGTCATACGGTATCTTTTTCTTCTATTTTGATATAATTCCTATGCTTGGATATTAATTTTATTTCTCTCAGTAAAATTTTAAGCGGCGATGCACGTATTTAAAGAAAAAAATAGCTCCTGGGACAAATAATGACAATTTTTAGTTGGGTTAAATAATGACGAGTCAAAAAGTTTTTTTACTATTTGAATATGATTTTTCTAATTCATTTGGGATAATATGAGATTAATTACAAAGCAAGATTCAGAATAAATGTGATTTTTAATCAGAAATAATAGTAAATAATGTTACTACTATTATTTATCAATAAATAAAAATTTACATATGGCATAGTATAGAAAATTTTTTAGTATAGAAAATTTTTTGATTATTCTTTTGACATTTTGATTAGATAAGGTAATTTATATTAATTTCTATACTTTATTGAAAAATAGAAATTATTGGATTTATAAATGACGAAGAAAGTTAATGCATTTTACGCATCAGATATAAAAATTATTAATATTTTATTGCATTATTTAAAGTTAAATAAAATAAAAACGAGATTTGTAACAAATAAAAAATATAAAAAAATCAAGATAAGATATGTCGGAGAGATTTGTAATTCTCGTAGAAAGCATATCAGCGGCGGTGAATTGTATACGATGTAGTTACCTGTATAACAGCAACCGTGAATGTAACTACGGTTGCAACTTCCACCGGCGAATATTGATGGCTTACGTCGGAAATTAAGGTGCCGTTCTCGACTGACGTGTTATTTGTCGAAACTGCAGGGCTACTGTATGTCGTAACGACTTTGCCAGTCATCATGCAGACGAGCGCAAACGTACCTTAATCAACAGAAAAGCGGCAATTCTGCTTAATTACGAGGCTTTCTAAATTAAGCGGCAGCCAAATGTAATATCTAAATAAACGTTAGTGCAAAATTATACGCTAATTTCGACAAATCGTTAGCTTCCTACGGATTATGTCATCATAATGCGTCGCATTTTCATTGTTTCTCCCATAATCCCTTTTCCGCCTTTGATATTTTCCTTAAAAATAAAGTCTACATTTGATACACATACCCATAGAATTGTGTCTGGATGTCCCAAGAAAAAAATATACCAAAACCGGGAAGAAAGCCATATATATACCAACAATAGGCGGAACATTACCCAATATTGCATATGCCATACCTAGAAAAATATATATTGAATACATTACAATAGAGACTAAAATATATTGATATTTAGAACAATATCAGTATTTTCAACCTGTTTTTGTACATTAATTGCTGTTGCTCAATCAATTTTTTTTATCGTAATAATCTCATAACACGTATCTAATTATCTCTATGAACGTTTAATCTATAAAATATCCCGTTTTCCAATTAAGAATTTTAGCATACTCCGTATTTATCTTTAATCCTAATTTATTCACACACACACATTATTTAATTAATTGTATATTATTATTATAAGAATTTAACGCAACATACCTTGTGGAATATGCATTACAGCAACAGTAATTCCAGCAACAATATCTCCTAAGATATTAGTCTTCCAATCGTATGAAGAAAGCCAGTCAATCAGAGGTATTGTGTTTTTGATAAATGAAATTGGCTTGATGCTTTTGCATCGTTTTGACAGCTCATTGCTGACTATATAAAATCACAAATTTTATGTATCTGTGTCTGCATCTGTGCATCTAATGATGCACGTACATACATATACAGGAAATATTAAATAAAAGAATTTAGGATTTACGGAGCAATAACGACAAACTATTTATGAATAAAAAATTTTCAATAATCGATTTTATCATCGAAAAATTGATTTTATCAGATATGATTTTTTGCTTTAGAAACACAATTTGTTTGCTAATTTTTACATGAATCCGTACAATTATTTTTACATTAATCAAATTTTCTAATTAATTTGTATACAAAACTATTATGGTCATTATCAAAAAATTAATACTTTATGAAATATTTCGTGTATATCTGAAATATTTTATTTGAATACATTCCGACATATAAGACATAAAATTGCTTATATAAATTATTCATATAGCACAGTTTAGCTTCTCAAAGAAGGTGATGGCCTTTTCATGATTTAGCCTTGATATTTTTATGTGTAGAACAACGAGAAGAATCGATTTATGCAAAATGAGTCACATGATGCTAAAAATTTCTATCTCAATCTAATTAATTTTTTAATCTACGTTTATTAAATATTTTTTCAATTCAATAAGTATTATCTGTCACTTAAAGTTTATTTGAAATATCTTTACACATTATATTTAAATAAAATAAAAGAATCAATTGAAATATCTCAATAAATTTTTTAGCATATGATGTACTGTCTTATAAAAATTTTAATGATGTAAAAAGACAAAATAAAATTTTATCTTTTTTTTAAAGCAGATTTTTAAATAACCTTATTGTAAATCTTTTAAAACATATTTGAATTTGTCATTAAAAACTTTTGCAATATTTAATAGAATACGAATTAATTCTATAAATTTCTCAGTCTTTTTACATAGATTCGGCATCATTTTTTTGAAAGGATAATGGCCTTCAGATGGAATCCTATCGCGCGCGTTCTCTTCCAACCAATTTATTAACTTCAACCGGTTCTAGTATTAACGTAAAATGTTGCGGCCAGTGTTTTGAACGGATTGTCGTGCGGAGAAGCGGTCTCCCATGAACACGCGAGTAAAAGGCAAGCGCGGTGAAAGGAAAATAAGCGATTTTCCTGCACGTGAGTACTGAATACATACTCACGCGAATAGATCTTGACACTTACGGATTCTCTTGGGTTTTACGTATTTGCACAAGTGATTAAGCTCGTCCTGCTGGTAGACCGGTCGTCTGACCATCAATTCCGGACCAGACGTCGACATATCGTCGCTCAAGTAGTCTGCGAACGAGCAACAATTAGGTGAGATCACACTGCCTGCATGCGCGGTCGCGCGTGTGTAGTCGTGGACAAATATAGGTTGCAACACTTTTTTTATGGGTTTTGAAGCGCACTAATATTTTGCAAATGCGAACCACGATTGCTGTACTATCTGTGCTGTAATCTATAGAAACAGTAAAAACGTGCTTTTAGATTAGAGATAGTATATCAATCGTGATTCGCATTTGCAAAATATATAAGTGCGTTTTGAAATCCATAAAAAAAGTGTCGCAATCTATTTGTCTATGACTGTACAGTATATATGTATGCGCATTAATAAACATTTTCGTCAGATGTTAATTAATAAATTATTGTGATTGACGCTATATATCGACGACGATGTGCTCGATTTGAAAGAATTCAATTAGCTTCGATTTAGCTCGTGACTTAAGACATGTGTGTTTTTGGTTAGATAACTTTAGGGACACGTGGAATACTTTTTTTCATCGTACTAAAATGTAAAACTGAGTACTGAGCTAAAAAAACAAATTTAATTTTGATATTTTAATATGGAGAACTGTAAAATTAAAAATTTATTTACAAAATCGGGTACATTAACAGAATAACGTAAAAAAATTCTGAATAGCATAGTGATATCAGAATGATACCACTATGATATCAGAAAAACTGAGATATGATCCAGCTTACGAATTAAATGGAAAACATCTGTTTTTATATATGCCAATATTTACACATATTGAGTTTCATATATTGTGCTTAATGATGCGTATTTTATCGAAGCGATATAATGACGGAATGAAATTGCCAAAAACGCTTATGCAAACGGCGAGTGCAATCTATCAATCTTGCAAATTTTCCATCAGGTTAAAGTTGGCGTAAGCAAATTTCGTTTGCTCGATGTAAACCGAAACGAAACGAGTATTGTGAGGAGATTAGGATCGCATGGCTGGCGTTGTCAGAAGAAATTGAGTGAGTAAACGATAATGCAATTGAGTGATATGATGGGATTGCTTAATTCGATCGCTCGATAAATTATATCGATAAATATTTGGGGTGACTGTTTTTGGAAAAATTAAATTGCAACGCTTGGATTGTGTTGATTCAAAAGATACATAGATGAGAAACAAGAAAAAGAAAAATAAGAAATAAAAAATGATATGATGTAAATGTTAATAATTATAAAAATTGAATTGAAATTATTTATTTACTTTCCATAAATTATATTACTATAAATTATTAATATTTACGTTAAAAACGAATTTCTTCGTAAAATGAATAATTATTTTTTGATCATTTTTCTGAATCTTATTTGGAGACCTCTTAAATCCGAGATCTCTTTTAAAAAAATATAGAGAGAATCTGTAATCATTTCAATCAACTTACGTTAAATTATTTGTAAGAAAAAATTTAATGTAACTTAAATTAAATTTAAATGTAATTACAGTAACCGTTGACAGTTAATAACTTTTCTATTAAATTGCGTTCAAAGATGGACTAATTGAGATCCGAGTATAAGGTTATTTGTTCACGATTAATACAATAAGGCGACATTCTATTAAATAACTGCGTTAAAGCGTTAGAATTATTAGTATTTCGATGACAAACTACCTGCTGACATTGTGCGAAAGTGTCTCTCTCGCGAAGATGTATCTCAAAACTCGACGATTATTCGCGGCTCTATCTACTCGTGGTGTGATAAGCGCGAGAACTTTCACGGACTAAGAAGATCTGATAACTAAGCGTATGCTGGCAACGATACTGGTAGATACTGGTAATTGGCCGATATCCTAATTCAATATTTTCAATGCAATGGAGATAATTTTGAATGTGGATAATACGCGCCTGTACCATCTGATATACACGGTTTACTTTTAAGAGACTTTACATTTCTTATTGGGGTTTTGTCGAGTGTCTCTAATTGGTCTTCGAGATAATAGATAAGCGAATTGTGATCGCGATGAGATGATTGATATTACATCAATAGAGAGATTACGCTCACTACAGAGTCAAATGACGCTGTGTACATACAGTAGCGAGAGGGAAAGACTAATCAGGAAAAACGTTGGCTGAAACTCTTTGCATGTATAAGCAGTTCTCTCGTTAATTATTTCCTTATCATAAATAGTTTGTTATCAAAGAAAGTCATAGTGACAGAACCAATACTATACAAATTTTTGTTCAAACATTTTGCGCAATATAACGAAGTTTATTTAAAAAACTAAAACACAGAAAAAATTCCACAATCTATTTTTATTTAAATTAAGTCTTTGCGATCTTTTTTTTTTAGATTTAATGTTAAGATTCAAGTATCTCGAGATTGCAATAATCCTTTTTAAAAATAATAAATATTCAGATTAAAGAATAAAATTGACAAATTAATAAATGTACAGTGACGATTCTTTACAAAATACCTTAAGGAAAAATTCTTATAATATTTTAAAATATTTTTAGATTATATAATATAAATTTTCTTCGGAAATTAAAGAATGAGAAAACTTTTAGAATATTTTAAAATTCACATATATAAAGATGTAGAAGAGAGCTAAAAAAGATGTAGACTTTTTTAGCATTTTTGAAAAAATTTTTTTTTTATAAAATTTTTATAAAAATCTTATACAATGTAATTAATAACTCTTATAAAAATTTTGAAAAATTGTCCAAAATATTATACAATGATACCAGAAATTTTGAAAAATTCTGAAAAATCATATTACAAAAAATTCTAAGAAACATTTTCGCCAGGATAGAACACGAAATTGATTAAGTATCAATAATTATTAAAGTATAAAACTCAAGTACAGAATGTATATTCAAACAATTCTTACAGATTCATATTGTCTACGCACCGATTTGATAATCATTGATCGTAGCACACTTGATGTAACGTACGTACGACGATACGATAACTTTCACCATAGTAATATATTAGATAAAAGGAGCACGAAATGGCGAGAACGAATGTGTCATGGTGATCGAATTAGTAGTCCGGTTAGTTGAATTCCGTTGTACTCACGCCAACCGCCGGTTCAATAATTACTCGATCGCGCGCGTGGTTTCGCGAACCGCAAGTGCACGCGGCGATAAACGAGCACATAATGCAACATGCGGCTCCTGTCCGCAACACGTGCGCTAGTCCGTAGATCCTTCGTGCAATACAGTTTAAAGATTCGTTCACGCCGCGTGACGTGTTACTCTCTTTCGATCCGTAGCGTGATGTCACATGTCGCGAGAGAGCAAATCGACACACTGCCAGCCGTTAACACTATCGCACTCCGGTTACGTCGGTTCTAATGATAACGAACGAGTTCAGCGTACATTTGTCAGTTGTACTAAATCTTTCTCCTCGGCTATTGCACGCGTGTATATTTACGGTAAATAAAGTGGCAATTGAAAATAATCGACAAAAATTGTTGATATTATGCGTCACTGTTTGTTTTATAGGGTCATCGTATGTAACATCTTGCCACATTCGTAGTTCTAGGCTGAATTCTAGACTTATCTGCATATAATTAAAGTAAAGACTTCGGCTTTGATATTCAGAATGCGTTAATAACTATGTTAGATACTATAAAATTTCAGAGATAAAAGCGCGTTCTGGCCAGTATATTTATATATTTATATAAATATTCAAACTAAAAAATTTTTAGCGATCATACTTTTACGATCTCGGAAAAATATGAAACTTTTTATTAATTAGTAGCCCCCAAAAATAGATTCACTTAACATTGAAAGCTTTGAATTACGTCAATTACTTGTGCACATGTGTGTGTGTGTGTGAAAGAAAATTAAAATAATTTTTCTTCATACCTGTAGTCTTACAATAAAAGATCTTCTTGCTCGATCTGGCGGCAAAATCGAAGAGAACAGAAAAGAAGGCACGAAAACTATCGAGCACAATAATACGATCTTTTGATCCAGAGATTCATTTCACTGACTCTCGTCCGAACGCACGCAACGACTGGATCTCCTCGCGGATTTTCGTTCTCGCAAGATCGCTTCGATTACGCATTAACAGGTCGACCTTAGGCGATAGGCACTGGTCGCGGAGCACGTTGCTTTTACACGTTGCCTTCAGAAATTTGACTCAGCCCGCGACTCGGCGTCACGAAATTTGGAAAGAATTCCACCCGACCGCGTCGGCGGTCGTTTAATGCTCGATCTACTATTCTAATCAGCGACGGAGGCGTTCCCGGTTGCTCCTCTCGGAACAATGAATATCGGTCAGATTTCTCTTGATCTTGAGAGATCACGAGTAAACACCGATTGCGACAAGAGACAGACAGAAGGGGGAGTCGACTTCGTCGAAATATGCGTATACTAGATAATATCATAAAGCCTTAATATTTTGTGTGTTTATATTTGCTAAAGTACTTTTTTGGGTATATGTATTATGTAATTGGATATATTTATTTAGTGTAACAACGACACAGCTAAAAAATTACCGCTTTTTAGTTGCTTGCGAAAAAGAATAAACGTAGAGAAAAATGTTGAGAAGAAATGAAAAAACATACTTTTATTTCTCTATAATCAGTAATTACATCAAAATTGCATTTCAATTAATGTTACAAAATTGTAATGAAATTGTAATGAAATTTAGAATATTCCAATTTTTATAGAAAACTTCGTTTTTTTAGTTACGTTGTGCAGCAAATGAATGTGATATAATAGATTACTTCATAAAAATGTTATCTTTCAACCAACAATATTTTTTAAATGTTTTTTAAATATTTATTTAATACAATAACATTATCTGCTGATTGGGTTATCTCGTCTTAAATCTTTTCTTCTAAAAACGTTTCTCAGCGTTATGCTGTTCTACGGTAAAACAACTTATGTATCAATGTTTGTAATTTCAGTCAGATTTTTGTATCTAAATCGTAATCAGTATTTATCTGAATAAATTAGATATATCTATAATGCAATTCTGTAAAAAGTATCCATTTATTGAATAATAAGACATTTATGATATCTAATGCATAGAAAAGAACGTTTTTCTCTCCTTTTTTTATGCGCAGTGCTTATGAAATATATTGTGTGTCAATTAGTTAAAGTGCTAATTTTCTCAAAATCCATGTCATGGCGAAGTATCAAGCGGAACGTACCTTCTCTGTTTCCCTTGATGCATCCCAACTGAAAGAGAAAGAGTTCAACAATGAGAAACAGTATTAATTGTGACACAAATACACATACTTATAATTGCGGTTAATTTTATCAATATTTAATCTTTTTTAAATATTATTTTAATATTTATAAATATTAATGTAAATTAAGAAGCAGCAATTAACAGAATCTTACAAATTTGAAATAGAGGTTACCTATCATCGAGAACTCTTTGTAATAAATTAGACTTGAAGTTCGCGCGTACTTGAACTGAATTTCGTTCTGATATCATGTTTTGAAGATGCAAACGATTAGTTTGATAGTTATACTCAGTTGTTGAAATAATGTAAACAAAAATTCTTTGCGTGTTTGATCAATGTACATAAAGACGATCCAGATCTACATATGTATGTACTTAGACTCATATTAACATATCTCAAATTTAGAGCCGCGTGTGGCCGTGTAATTCCCAGCTTATGACAATATTGAATGCATTCTTCGCAAAAAGCAAATATTACTTATTGTTAGAGTCATAGGGACACATTTAACGCTGTCTATAGAAAGGGAATACGAATACCCGTAATTTATAATTCTTTGTTTCGTATCACAGATTCGAATCGGAATGTACTTAACTTGTTTTTTCTTTAATTCGAGGAACGGAATGTTATTATAATTTCACTGAATAGAAAATATCTTTTCAAGATGAAATACAAATCCTATTTCGGAATAAAAAAAACTGATTGACAAATTCCGTTCCGGCAACTGCGCACAGTAAAGTATCAAACATCGGCATTGGTTTGAAACTTTGAACGATATCGGCAGTATTATTATCGCTGCTGAAAATTTAAATATACTTGGATAAAAGACTCGCCGAATAAAGTATCGATTTTAAAAGAATATTTGTGTATTGAGTGTTAAACCGAGATTTCAAAAATATTTTTTTTCTGAAGCAGAATCAGAATTTAATCAAGAAAGTATTTTGATTCGAAACTCTGCACAGTTATCCGCACGTATGTGTAATCATGTCACTTGAGAAATATAATACGTTTTCAGATGTCCTTGATTTTTTTTATATCGAATTCTTCGTTCTCTCTTGGGTATCACGTACCAGATTTTCTTCGCTGATTGACTTGATGTCATCTCTGATGGAAACTCCCATCGCTGTTGTTTGTAGCTACGTAACGTATTACTTAAAACGGTGCCTACTACATGAGCTGAAAAGTTTCCGGAATTGGATACAATATAGCACTATATGCAAAAATTAATCTTATGGCTGTCGAATATATTCCTTCAAACCTCCGCTGTCAAAATTTCATGACATTTCATCAAATAGTTTGTGAGTTACAATCATTTAAACAAGTCAATTTTTGAGTTTAAAAAAATGGAAAAAACCGAAATTTGTGCAGTGATCAAATATCAATATTTGAAAGGCTTAAAAGCCCAAGAAATCATCGATGACTTCAATGATTTCTTAAGGTTTTAAGCTTTTCAAATATTGATATTTGATTACTGCTATTGATATTTGAAATACTGATATTTGATCATTTGAGCACAAATTTCGGTTTTTTCCTTTTTTTTTTTTAACTCAAAAGTTGACTTGTTCAAATGATTGTAAGTCACAAACTATTTCGTGAAATGTCATAAAATTTTGATAGCGGAGGTTTGAAGGAATATATTCGACAGCCATAAGATTAATTTTTGTATATGGTGCTATCTTGTATTCCGGAAACATTTCAGCCCATATAGTACAATGAGACTTTAAGACTTAAGATTTAAGTAAATCAAATTAATAGGAACAGA